ACTCTTAAGGTTTTCTTCGTGACATTTGTTCCTTATTCATCCAGGCTAAAAGAAATACTGCTTTGTGCATGTATCAGCTGACAATCTACCTGGCAAACAATTCTTTTATCATGGAATTCATGAAACTAGCAAAAGAAAAGAACTGAATCGCTGCCATGTATTTTGCTACTTAGTCTGAAACTACAAAGAGACCCCTTGCTTGCCATTCATTGTTTTATGATTAGAGTAGAAGTGTACAGTGATGCTTTTTCCATGCTCAAAAGAGTAACAAGTTTAAGATTGATATCCCCCTTGTGTATTCTTAATCAAACTGTCCGCGCATTGGAAACTGAGCCGATTAACTCTGCAAGTTAATTTGGCTTCTGTGTAAGAAGGAATGGCTGTGATTATTGTTTTAGCGCCCTTCCTCTAGAGCTGCTGGGCAAGAGGTGCCTTCTGCTTAGCCCTGCTCTGGGATTGTTACTGACTTGAGGGTTCATTCTTCCTCTTCTTCCTCATCAAAGGTAGTTCTGTTCCTTGCATAATAATGGCTGGTTTCTTTTTTCCCGCTCCCTCCTTTTCTCCATGTAAGGAGCTAATACACCGAAGTGAAGAGCACAGCTGGGGCTGCCTCTTGTTTCTGGTGCTCTCTAACTGGATAGGTAAAGGAGAAGTTTGGAATCCCTGCCAAGTGCCACACAGCAGCATGAAAATATGTGGATGGAAGCGATTGGCTGTGTGGAGAGGGTCTGGGAATGAATGTGGTTTTCATGTCAAGCTGATCCCATGCTTTAATTAATGTATGCTGCTGATGCTGAGCAAGAGAACAGTGTAAGACATGACAGGAAAATGATCCCTGCAGTCATTGATTGAGAGTGGATCAGTTCCACATTGCTGTTGGCTCTCCTCCAGAAGCTGATATGCTTGGAGTATTTTGAATTTTGGAATTCTAGTTGTTGTTGTTTTTTTTAAAAAAAAGCTGTTTCTGCAAATGGATGAAGAACTATGCTCATTTGTTCACAGTGTTTTGATGGAGAGAATGAGGAAGAGAGGGAGATTGGGGAGCTGTCTGTGAAAGCTTAGAAGAGTCAAAGGAAAATCATTGGAGAAATGAGACCTGGTAGGAAGGTAGGGAGAACAGTATATGTTTTCTTCTTCCTACGCAAGGTATTTCATTAGGTATGCTTTCTTTTTAGGCTTCCAAATTTAAATTAGTCCCCTATATTAATGCCTGCTGGTACAAGCATTATATCCTAATATAATGGACTTTTTTGCAATAAAACATGTAACAGGAGTGGGTGGCGTGGAAAATATCCATGCTGCAGTTCTGCAAATAACAAACAAGCAGAATAATAAACATAATAAACATGGAATGTCAAAGACAGCTCACAAATAGACAAGCTTTGCTTTCAACTAACTGCGGAGTAAATGAATAAATGAGGAGCGTACACAGAACACACACAGAGAGAGAACTGAACGAGAAAGTGGATTTGACAGTTGCCACTGGCTCTGAATATAGATTAAACTTTTCTAATGTGTTGGCATCCAGACAACATTGCTGGTTGTTGTAGTGCAACAAATTTGTAAGGGAATGGTTTGAAGAAGGCTGCTTCAGATGACGTACATTTCCCTTAATAATATGTTTGATCCTTATTAGAAACATAATGTTTTTCCAGGTGAACCTTTGAATCTGCTCTAGCAACATCCTTTGTGGAAACTCTCTCTTAAAAGAATATTGATCTCTGGCAATTTAAATATGAAGCTTAATTATTTAAGGCGAAGGAAGGTTCATGGAAAAGTGCTCAGGTACCCTTAGCTTTCTTTATTTTCTCATTTCTCTACAGTGCAATCCTTTACCTGAATGAAGACTTCCAAGGGGGAAATCTCTTCTTCACTGAGATGGATGCTGTAACCCTTACAGTGAGTCTGCCTCAAGCCTTGGATATAGGATTAGGAGAGAAGGAAGGACAACTGAAACTGAATTCACAGCATTTGTCCCTAGCGATCAGGGAAATTCAGCCAAATTTTATGCTGGAAGATACATTAACTTCTTCTGTACTGGGCTTGAGCAATTCTCTTCTTGTCGCCATAACAAGAAAATGTTTTCCCATCTGTGGTACAACTGATAGTCATCGTATGACCTTGAGAGAAGAGAATTCTATGGCAAGGAAGGGGAGAACTGTTGATTTATCATTTCCCCCTCTCTCTTTGGCAGGCTCAAGTGCGCCCTAAATGCGGGAGACTGGTGGCCTTCAGCTCTGGTGAAGAGAATCCTCATGGCGTGTGGGCTGTGACCCGTGGGAGGCGCTGTGCTATCGCCCTCTGGTATACCCTTTCTCCAGAGCATGAGGAACAGGTAACCAAGCAAGGAAGAGAGAGAAGGGGTGGAAATGGACCAGAGGTGGGTATTCAGCAGGTTCTGACCAGTTCTGGAGAACCAGTAGCGGAAATTTTGAGTAGTTCAGAGAACCGGCAAATGCCACCTCTGACTGGAGATTTCACAGTCTCCTTCCCCTGCCACGCCCACCAAGCCACACCCACAGAACCGTTAGTAAAAAAAATTTGAATCCCACCACTGAAATGGACCCACGTCCATAGGCAAAATAAAAAGTAAGGGCTGCCAATAAGGCTACAGTGAGGAAATGTAAGGACAGAATCACTGGATAAATTTCTAAGTGTCTTGATTTGAAATTACATTACTTCCCATGCAAATATTGAGAATAGTCAATAGTAAAAAGGAGACCATCAAATGGTAAAGCGCTTTTCTAACAGGCTCCTCCTTTCTCTTTCCACTTCCTTTGTTCTTTCTGGTTGTAGGAACGGAGTCAAGCAGAAAAGCTGATGAGACAGAAAGAGGCAGAACAGGAAGAGTCACATAAAGAAGACCCAAAGGACAACAGTTTTGTACCTAAAAGTGGGGATTCACCAGAGCCTCCTGCTCCAAAGGGAAGAGCTAGATCCACAAGCCGAAATATTAAATTGGACTCTAACTCTGGAGTGAAGTCCAGGAGGCTGAGAGTCAGAGATGAATTCTGATCACATTCAACGCAACCTGGTCTTTCGCAGCTGCTCTTAAGTGACTGGTACAAGTAGGCAGCCTGAGAAATTTTCCAACTCCTGAGGTAAAAAGTTGCTTCTTTATGACACGCAAAGTATGGATCAGAGAGTGATGCTCCTGGACTCCATCTACTACTTAAACCAGAATATCGTAGTCTACCAGTAAAGATGCCAAGCTTGTAAACGAATGTAACACTATGCCTAAAACAGACTGAGACAAGAATCTTCAGATCAGCCATATTCAGATCAGGCCACTAGTTCCTCTCATTCAGAAGCCTTCACCAACAATATAGACACCATTAATACAGATCTACCTACATTACAGGGCTCTTCTGAGGGGGATAACATAAAATGTGCTTGGATTACTTTTAAAGTGCTGTATGTCTTCCTTCCAGTTTTCCTCCACCTCCATATTTGAAGGAATCAAAAGTGGGAAAATAATAATAATCATGTGTGTGAGCTTTGGGATCAGATGCATGAAAGTAGACAAGCCATACCAGACAAAGGGAAATGTATAGTGAAAAAAACCAGGATGATCAGAATTCTTGTCCAAAAAAAAAGCACAGAAAAACAGGTGAAATGTTAAGAAGCAGAATTACTATGAGTTCTTTCTTCAAGCAATGTATTCCAAAACAGATTGGTAGTCAGGTTCTAGATCGTCTAATAATGTGCTTTTGAAAATATTTTTTAAGAAGGTAGTATTCAGCACCTAATACTATATTCTTATTTTTTTTCTGCAATTGCTTGGGTTAGTAGAAAGTAACAGAAACACAGACTCCGGAAATTTGCATGTACAGTATTTGCATTCTTCAGTTTTTATTTTGGAAGTAGAGTTTTCTTTTCAAATAATGTTTTTTTAAAGTCAAAAAGCAAATAGAATGCAAATGAAATTGAGGTCAAAGTAAATATTTTTAAAAGAACAGTATAACTCTGGAAAGTAGTGGTCTGGATCAGAGGTACAGCAAACTGGAGATGATACTTTACCTTTTTTCTTCACATTTTCCATTGAAACTAATTGACTTCTGTGATTAAAAAAAACATGTGGCTGGCAACACAGCAGAGAGTGAGGAATCGCAAAGATTGGCGGTGGAGGTGAGAGGAAGGTTGAGAAGAAGAGAGTTAAGGACCTCACACCACTCCTGTCACTATTCTATTATAATATTCCCTAGCCTGCCATTTCAGGCGATTGGTGAACCAGTTCCCAGATCCAGGCTTGTTCTGAACAGCTGATCTCACTAAGTTTTAAAAGTAAAAGATCCGTAGGAATAAGAATGAAGGGCAGAAAGTGGTGTGGGGGGGCGGGAAGCAAACCTATTATTTATTTGTTAATTTATTTGCCATCTCACCATGGGGTATTAATAACCATGTAATAGAAACACTGAACAACGATACCTGTGAGGTAGGGACACCAGATTACTGATCAGCAAAGCTGTTTTAGAAAAAAGAACTTGCTTGTTTCACTTGTTGACTGGAAGATCCTGATAGTCTGAATACCATGGGAAGAAAACCTGTTTGACTCTCAAAAAGTATATCAGGGTGATTTAGATATTCTAAGTTCTCTAGCTAATCTGATAAACATTTGCTCTAAATGGCAAGCATTTAAAGGGGTGTGTATTTTTCCTTCAATAATTTTGTTTCACTGATATGGGCAGTCTTTTAAGTCCAGGTTAGGCTGGACATGGACAATAATGATTCATTAAATGGGCAAGCTTCCCCATCATCAGATAACACTCTGAGCAGTTTAAAGAGCAAATGACAAAATCAATATCATGAGTAATAATAACCAACTATAAAATTAAACTGTAATGTAAAACATCTAGTAGATATAGAACAATGAGTAGTTCTATCATTTGTATTGAACTGAAGTGGTTTGAATTTTTTCCCCTTGCTATAATGTATGTTTTTTGAAACACCACAAAAGCATTTAAGGATTGCAAAAAGAATATAAATATACAGATCCCCTGTACAATATTTTTACATTGAAAAACTATTACAGGTAGTTTTCGAGTTATGACCATAATAGAGTCTGCCCATTACAGTTGTAAGTCATGACGGTCATAAATCAGGTCACCCACACGACCAACCCAATTTTGTGACCTTTTTTGTGGTGGTGGTTAAGTAAATCAATAGTTCATTACAGATTGGTTTTGCCAAAAACCAGAAGTAAATGCCAATTTTCAGCAAAGCCATCACAAAACAAGGTCAACTGACTGCAGGATGCTGCAAACAGGATGCTGTTAATGTGGGCCTGTTGCCCAGCACCTGAAGTGTGGTCATGTGACCATGGGTGTGAAGGGAGGAAACTTCAAATATGGGTTGTAAGTACTCCCAAGGGAGATCTGTTGTAACTTTGAACAGTTGCTAAGCAATTGATCATAAGTCAAGATAACAGTAGAGATAATGGCTATGTTTCTGTAATGTGCTTAGTTATGAACTGAACTGTTTTTCTAAGTTCGGTAAATACACTGAACACATAACATACAAAGGAGTTTTCCCCATTGTTAAGTTGAAGTTATCTCCATCCACACTTGAATGGCAGGAAAACTGGACCACACTGGATTGGCTATCCCAGTAGCCTATCTTGTTTCTATTGCTTCTGTTCCAGATATTGCCATCCCTCTGACTTAAACACACCCAAGCCTCAAAGTGAATCCACTTTCAAAGCTATCTTTGGAATGTATCAAAATAAGGTGGAAAAAAGTATGTCAAACCCAGAAGAGGTAAAGATGACTTATGACTCGCTCAAAAGGTTGGGACAAGAAGAAGGCAACATCAAAGGAATACATTAGAAAAAAGATGTTGCCAGGGCATGTTTGTGCCATTTTGAGATACAATTGGAGAAAGACCTTAAGTCATATGAAAACCATGCAAGGGTAAATTATCAGGCTCCAATGGTAGGAATACAGATGCCAGGTTGGTGAATAAACTAGTGGACACCATAGAGCAGGGGGGTCAAACTTGCGGGCGGGATGTGTCATGCGTTGGCCACACCCATGCCTGGTTTAGTGAAGGGGGAAGTTGTGGTAAGTCACGTGACGACTCCGTGATGATGCAAGTTTGACACCCCTGACATAGAGGCTTATGCAGGAGTCCCTGGTGCGTGAGGAAATTTCACTGCAACAGGCAACATTAACACAAACAAAAGAGCATTTTTACTTAAAATAATTTAGGCTCCTGCTGTGGCAATCAAATCCTTATCTTTATGGCAAGGTTTCATACAGTACATGTATAATAACAGATCAAATAAAATGCTTTTCTGGAATAATCCCCCACCAGCACTAGGGATGGGGAAGATTAGACTGAATATGAGCTGCAGATGTAGTTGTTCAAATTATTTTTCAAATAAATGGAAATGACTGGTAATGTAGTTGACCTCACACAATATTAATGCTGATGAAAATTGAACTTTTTTTTACTGACAATTTCCTTCCCAAACAAACTCATGGAATTACATCCATTACAGCTTCATATTTCCCAACTCAATCTCCTTTATGCATATGGTATTTTTGTGCCTGGGTAAAGCCAGCAAACTCAGACTGACGAATGTCTTATCATTCTGAGCAACGGAATACTGTAAAAAAAAAAGGGGTAACACATGCTTTGCTGTTTGATTAAAAAATAATAATCAAAAGCCTGAAGAAGGATAAACCAATAAATAGCCTTTCCCTTCCCTTGTAAAATTAGTACAAACTGAGTGAGAATAGAGAGTTGCAGATAATCACGTTTGCTTTTTAGTAAAACAAACAAACACAAAACTCCTGCCAGGAATGATTCAGGCTTTCATAGTCTGTACCTATATTGGATCAGCCCGTTAAACAGAAGGAAAGACAAGAACTTCTGGATTGATTCCAGAGTGGGATAAACAGACTGTTCCCATGGGCGGGGTCAGGATTAGTATCTAATGATGGGATTATTTTGTAACCCAATAGAAGCCAAGAGGGACAGAGGAAACTGTATCAAAGATAGCATTTGACCCAGTCCTTGGAAGACTTCGATCCAGGTGAAGGGAAGGTGATTCCAGTTACTTCATAAAAGACTTTCCACACTTTGGAAAATATGGTAGTTTATAAATATGCATCTTCTTATCTACCCTGAAAAATTAGTAACAGTGTTTGGCAGGTGTGCGTGTGGAACAATGAAGTGATGATATTCATCTGAACACGCTATTTTTTTTTTAAAGAAGGAAATGTGTATGAAACAAATTGATTATATATGCCCAGTTGTATAACTTTTTAAGTAACTTTAAAAAGACTGAAGGAGGATCATAAAAATATATTCCTGGTGGTTATATATCCTTTAATTCTTAGAAGGAAATATTCTTATTTTAGTTTAAAGAAGTAAAATTCTAAATGGCATGTAAAGCTTAGGGAAACCGAGCAGATTACTCACTTCAGATTTCCCTTTGAACACGTAAGCTGGTGGTGGAACCAAGCCAGCGACAGCATGGTAGATGAGGGTGCATGAGAATAAGCCTGTCTTTCCATAGATGAAGGGTTTAAAATTTATATTAAATTATCATCTAAAATATTTTTTAAATAAAATGATGTACCATTTGTATTTGACACCTGATAAATAGTCAGACATATACAAGGGTATTTCAAATGTATGTTGGAAAAGTAAACATAAAGAAGAAACTTTTTGCCATCTTTGATGGACATGATAAAGCAAAGAAATACTGAGATAGGATTCATATTTTAATATAGAAGAAAAGAATTCATCTAACTTTATTTTTGTTGAGAAACTGCTTCTGGATTTTGTGCTTGAGATGGAAAAAATGAAACATTGACATTGGGTTTCACTAATTAGATAAGTTTGCTGATATAGAAATGGTGAGTGTATATTAACTATGTAAAAGTAAAAAGTTGAGGCTCTAGTGTTATTATTCTATAGTGCTAAACTCTTTGTTGGAAGTCATTCTTTCTTCTTACTTCTTTCTCTTTTTCCCTTCCCCATTTTTCCACTATTTTAATTTTCATTTGTATTTTATATTTTGATAAATTTAATAAAATTAAAATTAAACATGATGGCAAAGCATGAGTAGGTCCTACACATGATGAAAAGGTGAGCGCTCCAATAGTGCCTTGGACTAAGGTGATTTGACCACACCATGAGCGACAACATCCAACGTTGACTGGGAGTCGCACCAACCATAACCAAGCCATGGAAAGGAAGACTTAGATCAGGGGTGTCAAACTCACATCTTCATGGCAGCATCACGTGCTGTATCAGGACTTTTTTCTCCTTTGCCACGCCCATGCCTTACACATCTCACCCATGGGCTGGGAGTTTGACAGCCCTGACTTAGGTGGTATGGACACATCATAGATGGTAAAGAAGGCTCAGTGGCAGGGAAGCCATGCATTTGGACCTTGGTGGCTGGTGACCCCATGGCAGACCCAAGAAACGGTGGATGGATCGCATCAAGGATGACATGAAATGCATGGGCACCACCCCTGAAGATGCCCTGAATCAAGTCA